ATAATAAGTTGAAACCGAGTCTCTGTGGAATCGAACCGACTTACCGCTATTACAATTTTGGTTGTAATTTGCCGTAGTTGGAACTTATTATTTGTCGGACTCGGCATCGGTCAAATTTTTGGTGCCGCTGCCGGGGACTCGGTGCATTTAACCTTGTATGCCAAGATCTTCTCGTGCAGGTTCACCTTTATCATTAGACTAAGAAATCGAACGAACCGCGAAACGACTTAGGAAACAAGCCAAACTTCGAAAGAGGTTAAGCGAGGGAACTTCGTCACCGGGAGTAAATATCTGGCAAGATATTGACCTCTCTAGCGATTCGGGCGACGAAAAAGAAGAAAAGCTAAAAAAGAAAAAGGAAGACGAGTTGGAAGTCAAGACGGAAGAAATAGAGGAGCGGACTCTCCGAGAGCTCGCGACACAAGACGTTGCTCAAGTTCCTATATGCATCAGGTATCCTCAAGGTAACGATAATTTTGTTCTAAAGACTGGTTTGGTCCATCTCTTACCTACTTATCATAGTTTAGAGAATGAGGACCCGAATAAGCACTTAAAAGAATTTCATGTTGTCTGTCTAAGCATGAAACCCAATGAGGTTTCCGAGGACCTTATAAAGTTAAAGGCATTCCCTTTCTCTTTAAAGGACCGTGCTACGGATTGGCTCTATTCGTTACCGCCCTGTTCGGTAACGACTTGGAACCAAATGGCGAGGTTATTTCTTGATAAATTCTTTCCCGCCTCCTGAGCCGCTAACCTCCATAGAGAGATTTGTAGCATTAAGCAACGAGATGTTGAGACTCTCCATGAATATTGGGAGAGATTCAAGCATCTTTGTGTGAGTTGCCCACAACACGGGATCTCGGACCAATTGCTTCTACAATATTTCTATGAGGGACTCCTTCCTTTGGATAGGAAGATGAAGGATGCCGCAAGTGGCGGAGCCATGTTTAATAAGACCCCAACCGAGGTTAGAGCTCTAATTAGCACTATGGCCGAAAACTCCCAACACTTTAGTGTTAGGAGTGACATGAGAAGAGAGCCACAAAAGGCGAACGTGGTCAATGTTTCTAGTATTGAAAGTCGCTTATTTGATCTTACTAACATGGTTAAGCAGCTTGTAGTAGGAAAAGAGCAGGTGAAAGCTTGTGGTATCTGTTTAGGAATGGGCCATCCAACCGATGCGTGCCCGCAACTTCAAGAAGATGTGTTTGTGATGGCCGGAGACCTGAACGCGGTAGGAGGTTTCCAAGGTCAGCCACAACAACAAAGGTATTTTAACAATACCTTTGGCAACCAAAGACCTCCTCAATTCCA